GGAGGTCCTGTGTCCACGAAATCCCTTCCCCCCGGACGCCCCCATCACGACTGGGTATACCATCCGAACGTGTTTAAGAGCTCTCGAGTTATCAGCGAGTTTAATCTTGAAACAGCTGTTAAGAAGTTTTTTTCTGCCTAAACTGTGAGTAAAGCATTTACTTATCTCACCGCCTCCTTGGTGTTTTTCTGTCGACAGAAGGAGAGACAGAAGAGGGAGGAATAAGGCCCCAAAACCCTTTTGTCCCCGGCCTGCTCGCATAATCTGGGTCCAACAACCCATTGTCAGGTTGAACACTTAGAAGCAACGATGAGGGCAAAGGAATCCTTATCACTGATTGAGCTTCTGTGGTCTAATATTCAATGATCGTGATTCTTTGGTTTGTGCCTTCTGCAACTGGGATTCTCAGGAGTCCTCCACCTGAGTACTGTCCAGGCCTGCCAGTTTAGCTTCTGAAACCACACAAGAGCTGATACAGCCAATCAGGCCTGACCATATATATGCATAATGTATATCTTAATAACTTATAGCTTACCGAATACAGCATCAAATTCACAAGACATTTACACATACCCTTAAGGTTACATGTATCGCCCACCCCAATGAACTCTGAAAACTGGAAAATTTCTTATAGTGTTGTGGCCTTTGTTATTTGGCCCAATCAACAAATTTGTGAGACTGAAACCAGAATTCAGTAACTATGTAAGAATGTGCAAAATTACTTCTGAGTTTAGTTGCTCTCAGTGAGTGAAATAAATATGCATAAATGAATGAAGTTAGATATGTACTTCAATGGTTTCAGGAATGACCCAAAGCACACAAAAGCCCATAGATTTCCTAGTAGCTGGTGCCTTCCCTTGATTTTTGTATCCTGTAAGACACAGGTTTTCAAACAGGGGTATGCCACCAGCACTGGCATGCTCGCTGATTGGCAACTGCTCCCCGCCCCCCCCCCCCCCCCCCCCCCCCACCCCCTCTGCGGTCCCCCCACCGTCCAGCTGCGGGGGGACCTCCCTCCCCTGCTCGCCGATTGGCCGCCAGGGACTCCTTCCTTCTCAACTGGCCACCAGGGGTACACTGACCCAAAAAGGTTGAAAACCCCTGCTCTAAGATACAATCAAGCTTTGAATATGTTAACCATACTCATGTCATGAACAAAGCAAAAGGTTTCTATAATGGTACAAAGACAAAGTCAAGAACAACAGTTGCAACATTTTTATGGTAGATATGCTTTTTAAAATTAACCATAATGAATCTTTCCATTTTGGAAGGAAGCATGTTAGGCAGACTATTTTAATTTTCAAAATTTTCAGAGGTATTATATCAAATATTTGCTTTGGGGCATCTTTTTTAGAATTATTTTTTTCAATACTGAAATGGAATCTATTGTTTTCAATAATTGTTGGTTTTGAAAAAAATGCAATAAACAAACCAAATCAAAATCAACAATGGGGAAAAAATGAAAATGAGAAAGAAGGCAACTAAGAAAGTTTTCACTGAAAATGAAAATTTTAGATAAATTAAAGTGTTCTGTTTTTAAAGGTTTCATTTTTATATGGATACATTAAAAACTTTGAACTGGTTATAAATGCTAATACTATTATGCAAATCACCAAGTCTCTGGAATTGCAATTTTATCAAACCTGCATGAGCTGAAATATTTTCTCTTTCACCAATGGCAGTTTGTCTATCATAGACTGAGATGTATCGATGAGAATACAGATGTGATCTTCAAGCACATTGCCAAAGAGTCCTCTGCTCCCTCGCTGGAGCCACTTAATCCTGAAAAAATATATCAACTGAAGATGGAATGTAAGGCAGTATTTCAATAGGATTTGGGATACCAAACAGGTAGCATAAAGCAATAAGGTAACACAATTTGAAAAAAAAGACACCTGCAGACTAGCTGTATGTCTCAGAGACAGCTGGCTGTTCCTGTTGGTCTGTGAACATATTCCTGTCCCAGGACAGGAAAGCTGCTAGGGTGACTGTAGATGTGTTAGGAGGCTGCTCCAACACACTGTAATTGAATCTGCTGGAGCATGATAATTACCAGGGATCCTAGTTTTCTCTGATAAAAAAATTCCCCAATTTTTGTAACCCCAAATCCACATTTTTCCAGGATTAAAATGAAACACCAGTAATACATACATACATACATACATACATATCTATATCTATATCTATAGCTAGCTATAGATATATCTATATAGCTAAAATAAAGTAACCCCTGAAATTGGGATCTTTTTTTTAATCAGAGAAAACCAGGATCCCTGGTAATTACTGCACTCCAGCAGCCTCACACACCTCATGTATCAGCATCTCCATGCTTCAAAATGGCAGTGGGGGGCGCATTTTGAAGCGTAGGGAAACTGATACACAAGACACTGCAGCACTTTAATTAAAGCAGCTCTCAGAGCTGCTCTAATTAAAGCATCGCCCCATCCCCCACACCCAGAGCACATGTAAAATTGCCTTTAAGTACTTGCTATAATCCTTCCCTAATCAGACCACTAAAGGCCTTTGTTCAGTAAGGAATTTAGGCATGTAAAACAACCTCAATGTTATGCACTTGGTTAAATTCCTTGCCAAACTGGGGCCCTAAATACATGCTTAATTATAAAGCATAAATAGGAATTATAAAGCATAAACAGGATTTAAGTGCTGGCTTAAAGTTAATTGTGTTCTTAAGTGTTCTCTGGAACAGGAATTTATTCCTCAATTACAGCTAAACTCTACAGTTTTTCCCACAGGGCTCATCTACACGAGACATTTACTGCAGAGTTGCCTAATTAACTCTGCAGTAAATGTCTCAGTCTACACATGTGGCCCTATTAGGCTGCAGGAAACTAATAAACTCCATGCAGGTTAGTACTTGTCAACACAAGTACTATCCTGCTGCAGAATTTTTTCATGCTCAGCAATGTACATGTAGACACTGACAGGGCAGACTGGGGCACAAGGGTGCTTTACTGTGAGGGCTGCCTGCCAACTAGCCCCACACTGGAGCACCCTCATGCCCAACCATCCCCTCCGCAGCACATTGAGCTGAGTCAGAGCAGCCTGGGGCTGACAGGCTGGCTCCCCTGCCAGCTGGGGCTGCTCCAACCCAGCTCAATGTGCTGCAGTCCCAGGCACACATTCAAACGGTGTACCCGGGATCAATAAAATCCAGCATAATATGTTTTGAATGAATTGCACGTGTAAACGCACCCACAGTCTCCTTACTACCCGCATACATTTCAGAGCAGGATCTCTCTCCTGGGGTGGAGAGTATTCCCTGATATGGAAATTAAAAAAGAATGCTTCCATAGAAAACAAAAGGATTCTGTCATGTTTGTTGCTGAACAACATTTTTGCATTAGGTATTACATAAAAGCATTTGAAAGACTAATATGATTTTGTAAGAAGTGCACAAAGCATTCAAGAGCAAATTTATGCTAATGCTCTTGGATTTGGAACATCACAAAGTCAAAGGTCCCCTAAATCTCAAATACTGATTTTTGGCACCTTTCACTGGAATGCACTACAATACAAAGAAACACAACAAGATGCTGGATTTTGCTAAACAATACTCTGCAATGAAAATTTGAGTGGGGGGAAAAAAAGACAGGACTAACAAAGTTAGTTCCTGTTACAGCAGGAAAAGTTCTCAACCACCAAATACCAATAGGTTAATCATTAGTCTTCAGCAATGGAGCAGAGTTACACCACCCCAGGAGAAGGTTTGGGAAGTGCTGTGCTTTAGAGAAGCAAAATGCATCTTAGAGACCCTTAAGGGTCCTGCTGCAGGGACCATGGCATAGCGGATAGCATCTGGCTATCCAATCCAGGGCCTGCCACAAGATTAAGTTAGAGCACAGGTGCTCAACCTCTGGCCTGCAGGCAAGATCTATCCTGTGGATCCATGTCATCTGGTCCATGAGGTCCCCTAGGGTGCAGACATTTGGCAAGGGAGAGTAGTGGCAAATTTCCAAACCCCATACAGTGGCATTGGGCCCCAGGTGGGCTGCTGCTGCGTGGCTGCATGTAGCCCCAGATGGGCCACTGCTGTACAGTGGGATTGGGAGCACCAGACTAGGCCCACAGACTGGATCTGGTGCACAGACCAACCTGACACCGCTCATTTGGCCCCCGGCATAAAAAGGCTGGGCACCACTGAGTTAAAGCAATGATTCTTAACCGGGGACACCAGGACATCCTTTAAAGGGTGTTACAGCATATGGGAAGGTAAAGCACACGTTCTTCCTTACCTGGCCCCTGTGTGGGGAGGTAAGCACTGTACTAATAAGTTTTGGAAATGAGGTGCCACTCAATTCACAGGAATTACAGAGGAGTACCTGAAGTCTAAAAAGGTTGAAAAACACTGATATAGAGAGTGAGTAGGAGAGTCAGAGAGAAGTGGCTTAACCTCCTTCCTAGCCCTTCAATATAGGGTACAACTAACAAGAGCAAGCTGTGTTCAGACAAGCTATGTTCAGACAAGCAATGGATTGCAATTGAGGCCAGTGCCACCATGAGGAGGTATAGTGAGATAATCATAGTTCATAGTCTCATAGTTTCTAGGGTCAGAAGGGACCTGAACAGATCATCAAGTCCAACCCCCTGCCCTGGGCAGGAACGGGTGCTGGGATCATAATACCCCAGCCAGATAGCTATCCAACCTGCTCTTGAAGACCCACCAAGGTAGGGGAGAGCAACATCTCCCTTGGGAGCCTATTCCAGAGCCTGGCAGCCCTAACCGTAAAGTAATGCCTCCTGATATCAAGCCTGAACCTGCTCTCAATCAATTTGTAGCTGTTATTCCTTGTTATCCCAGGCAGTGCCTGGGGGATTCTCAGATTCATAGATTGTAGAGTCAGAAGGGACCACAATGGATCATTGTGTCTGACCCCCTGCCCCTAGCAGGAAAGAGGACCGAGGTCAGATGACCCCAGCCAGGTGACTATCTAGCCTCCTCCTAAAGACCTCCAAGCTAGGTGATAGCACCACCTCTTGGAAGCCCATTCCAGATCCTGGCCACCCTTACTGTGAAAAATGTCTTCCTAATATCTAACCTAAATCCACTCTCAACTAGTTTACACCCGTTATTCCTAGTCACTCCTTGGGGCACCTTAGTAAACAGCGCTTCCCCTATTCCCCGTTGACCTCCCCTAATAAATTTATAGGCAGCCACAAGATCTCCCCTCAGCCGTCTCT